GGGGGTAGAGGAGGTGAAAGAAGTGGAGCTGAGTCGTTGCTCGTCTCAGGTCGCAGACAACAAGGCAGAGCTGGACAAGGTGCAGCTAAATTATGATCACGCGGTGCTGGACATGAAGACAAGATTGGAGCAGAAGCAGGAGAAGGTGAGAGAGGAGAGGGAAGGGTAGAGGAGAGGAGAGCAAGTATCTTGGAAGCCTTGAGGAGGGGAGGGGAAGGGAAGGGCAGGGCAGGGCAGGGCAGGGCAGGGCAGGGCAGGGCAGGGCAGGGGCAGCAGGTGCAGGAGGAGCTCCTGTGTGTCTCGGGTGGATCCTGAAGGGAGTGCGTGCAGGTTCAAGACCTCAAAGAGCAGTTCAAGCAGACGAAACGAGAGGTCGCAAAGAGCGTCGGAAGCTCTGGAGGGAGGCCCGTTCCTCTCAAGCTGCTGAACCAGCTGGAAGAACAGGTGGGAGATAGTTGGGGAGACCTCGGCTGTCAGTCACGCCCAGCTGCAGGGGGATGAGAAGGACCGAGAGCTGGAAAAAGTCCGGCTGAAGAACATCCACCTGAGAAACCAGCTGAGAAAGTTGGAGGGGAACCTGAAGAGGAAGGAGGAGCTTTCCAACGAGCTCCACCTCATCGACTTCGAGCAGGTGGCTGCTGGGAGGGGAGAAGGCGAGAGTTGACACCCTGCCCAGCTGAAGATCGAGAACCAAACGCTGAACGAGAAGATCGAGGAGAGGAACGAGGAGCTGCTGAAGCTGCGCAAGAAGACAACAACGACCGTCCAAGTCTTGACGCACCTCAAGGAGAAACTTCAGTTCGTTCAAGCTGAGAACCAGCTTCTCAAGGTGGAGCTCGCAGAGCTGGAGGCCGACCTGTCGACCCACAGGTGGACAGGAGGTGGAGGCTGCGGCTGGCAATGACCCGCGGCAGGGACGCGCTGACGAAGGCGAAGCATGACCGCGACAACTTGAGGAGCGAGAACCAGAAGCTGAGAGGAGAAGCTGGTCAGGCTCAGCTGGGAAAGTGTCGTCGTGATGCTCCCGCAGGTCTGATCGGGAACAACGAGCTGCTGCGAGACTTTGACAGGAGGAAGAAGGAGATCGTCTCGATGCAGGTAAGGAAAGCAGGAGGGGAAGGAGGGGAAGGAGAGAGAGGATCGAGTGAGGCTGATGACGACGCAGGATCATCTGGAGCAGCTGAAGGAGAGACATCGAACTCTACGCGAACAAATCTTGACCATCAGTCAAAAGAAAAGGTGACAACCTTCTTTTCTGCTCCCCCTGACCCTCCCGCAGCCTCATGACCTCCACCATTCAATGAATTCCTCCTCCTCCTCCTCCTCCTCCTCCTCCTCTTCGTCCTCGCCCACGCCCTCTTCTCTTTTCTTCCCGTCCACTCGCCCACTCTCTCTGCTTCCTCCTCTCCCTGCTCCTCTTTCCTTGTCCTCGTCTCTTCTCCGTCTCCTCCTCCCCTAGTCTAGTCTGAGCGACAGGCCCTGCAAGTGATGTGGACCATTTGTATTAAAACTCCAACATCACGAGTGTCGCTCAGCAGCAGCTGAGCTGGCTCTACTCGTTCATGCTCTCGATCAGTGCTTCCGCCTCCTTCATCACCACCTGACGATTTCTCAGCTCGCAGAGGACAGCAGGACCAGCAACAGACCTCGTCGTCGAGCTCCTCCTCCTCCCCCGCGTCCTTGACGTTCTCGTCTCCCCCCTCGTCTCCCGCAGCAGCGTTCATGATCCGGTCAGCCTGCAGTCGCTGCGTCAGGGAGGATGGGGAACGTAGCTGCTGACCTCCTCGGAGTCCATCATATGCACCTCTTTCTCCTCGTCCTCTGCCAGCAAGTCGTCAGGAGCAGCTGGTTCCTCCTCCCTTCCCCACCTTTCTTGTAGGGATGCGATCGAGCCGCCTGCCTCTTCGACTTCCTCTCGCGGATCTTTCCCAGCGTGTCGCGCAGGTCAATCACAGGAGCCTGAGGAAGACTCACTTGCTCGCGAGAGATCGGGCAGGGAGAGCAGGAGAGGGAGGGAGAGGCCAGTGGGAGGGGAGAGGGAGGGAGGTCTTGCAAGGAGACAGAAGGAGGAGCGGAGAGGCTGACAGGCTCTGAAGGAATCTGCTGTTGCTCAGGAGAAGGACGAGGAGGAGGAGGCATCGCCCCGCGTCTCTTCAGCCAGAGGCGTTTGGACTTCTGCGCCTTTCCATCCTTCCTGTCAGACGAGCGTCAACTGAGGTGGGAGCGAGCTGGGGATGACTTGTCAAGGGAAGTCGCTTGGCGGATGAGAACTGGGTAGGTGATCCCGTTCTGAGAGAGAAAGTGAGTCAGACCTGCTGACTAGTTGCTGCGAGCTCTGTTTCATGTATCGCTTCCCTCCCCTTCCCCTTCCCCTTCCCCTCCTCCTCCTCCTCCTCCTCCTCCTTCATCCCTCTTCCTGTCGTTTTCTTTGTTCACATTTTTGTTGTGAGCTTGACCCGTTTTGTTGTTCTCCTCCTGATTCTTGCCTCTCACCTTCTCATAGTTGGGTCCCCGACGCCAAAATTTGTCAACTGATGTCTCTACCTTGGGTGCTGGGACTGAGTGCAGGAAGTGAGAAATTTCAAACGGGGGGAATAGATGGGGAGTGGGGGGGGGGGGGGGGGG